CAGGCACAGCTCTCAACATCTAAAACCAAAGTATGATAACACTGTGAGAACTAAATGTGTCCAAGCACGTACGCATTTAAGAGGAAAAGAAAAATTATTCAGAGAGAGAAAACACATCAGGATCCAGGTATTTCTTTTTTCTTCTTCCTTTGTTGTAAGAAAAGATATATCTGGATCTCGGCGTATTTTCTCTCTCTCAACAATTTTTCTTTTCTTCTTGGATTTTTCTTTTTCTTTTAAACGCGTTCTTGCTTGGACACATTTAGTCACATTGTTGTCTTGATAATCATGATCTAGTTATCGAAACGTCGAATAAAAAAATTACTTGAAGCAGCCCTAAACTACAACTTAAATTTTTTCGACTTTCTTATGCGATCGACATTTCCTTTTTCGGCGTAAAGACTTTTGATATTCTCTTTTCGACATTTTTCTTTCGGCATTTTCTTTTCAACATCTTAGTATGATCGGCATTTTTCCGTTCGACATTTTTTTTTCGACATCTTGTTTTCGGTGTTTCTTCTTTCGATATTTTTGCTTTCTGTCAAATCAATACCATTCATCAGTGATCGAAGTAAAGTGGCATTTGGTCAGTTGACGAAAGTTACACAAAACTTTGGTCAATGACCGAAAGTCAAACGAACTTTGGTTATTGGCGAGAGTCAGACAAAACTTTGGTCAATGACGAAAGTATAGGTGACGAAAGTCATAGTTGACCAGTTTTGGGTAACTCCAGGCGAAAACCCGGCTTTTCACCAAGTTGGCTTTTCGGGCATTGTGGTTAAGTGGGAAATAAAACGAACATCGCCACGATAAGCAGCGTGGTCGATTACCTATGATCCACATGTTTGTGAGATTCCCAGACGTGTCAGATAGGTGTGTCCTCGGAAAACGCCGGAATCTTCGAAACGAAAGGTGGTAGACAAACAATTCTTTCAGATTCAGAAACAGCGCATCCGATAGTACAGTCTAATACGAAATTAAAAAAAATCTAGGTTTTTCAGAAAAACGGTGGTTTTCCGACTTTGCAAAGCCAGGCTTTCCAAGAAAAACCTTTTCGAAAAATCTGCAGACTACATGGTTTTCTAGCAAAATCTATCTAGTTTCTGAATCTGCCAATCAAATTGTGCTATCACATTTTGTTGAAAAGTTATTAGCGATTTATCAGAGTACACTATATTTTTACATGGACAGTAGCCTGGCAGAACAGCAGTTCATGATGGAAAAGTGGAATAGACAGCAATCCCTTGCGAAAGGAAAGAACATACGTGACTATTAGTCGTTATTTTTCTATGCTACATGTGTACGTGATAGATATGTCCTAGTAGTCATGACGTAAGCCACAACACAGAAAAAGTAGAGAAGGAAAAGTGATTGAGAAATCACGTTCGTCTATATGTGTGTCATTTGTCAAAGTTAGAAGGTAATTATAGAACAATATTACCGAGTACCAATAAAAAAATGATAGATACTCTTACTAGAACATGGCTGATGTTGGCAGTTAATACCGGAGGTAAATACTACAGATGACTGAAACGAACAAAAGAGCATATTTATGACATCTTCTGTTGGAAATGATGATTTCACTAAAAGATGAAACTTGAGATGAGTTCTTAGAAATAACAGTTCTCAAACAAGTACATATTTCAAGGTAATCACCTAGTCCCAATAAAACTCTTTTCAGAATACAAAGCTATTCAGAGTAAAGATACACTAACTTGCATCTGTTAATATTGGTGATATGACTACAGTGTTTTAAAACAGTTTGTACAGCAGCTAATAGAGTATTATTAGTACATTTAGCTAGTAACCACTATACACTACCTGGTATTGTTGTCACTAATATTCTTTTGTTAGGAGGAGGGTACGAAATTGAAGACTAGTGCAGCGTTTCAGTATTTGTTTATTATTCGAAATGAAATCAGTTAGTTGGATATTGATATTTCTTTTACGTTTCGATTTCGTGACAAAAACTGTTAACAGCAGTCACCATCTATACCATATAAATGTTAAGCGGGGCTCTGATCATTATTACTACGATTGTTTATATCTTTATGCGAAACAGACAATCAAAGATAAGAGATGGAGAAGTGGCGATCGAGCCTGGCAGCTGATTCCCTACTGCATGCGATCTTCGGATGGAGAGTTTGTACCCACGAATAATGTCACCAGTTCTGTATGCAAGGGAACACCATATTCGTTTCAAGAACTGAAGTCGTTAAATATAAGTGGTGCTCAACTCTTTGACTGGTCTACTCCTGTTGATATAATTAATGATTATGAACAATATCTGATGAGTTCTCTCGACAGTGACAGTACACGAATGTATTGTAACTGCACTGATCAACGATATTTTGGAACACGATGTCAGTATACATTTCGTGCTGAACATGGAGCATTCAGAGAAATAATTGATAAACAGTTTTCGATGAAATATCTTCGAAATTACTCGGATGTATTTGAAGCTGATATGACATGTTACAGTCGTATTCAGTGCAACAGTACTTTAGTATGCTTGGATTGGAGGCAAATTTGTAACGGTTTGTACGATTGCGATGATGGCAGTGACGAAGAAAATTGTTTTGCGTTAGAGATGAATGAATGTGATGATGAAACGCAATTTCGATGTCGAAATGGTATGTGTATACCGAAGAGTTTTTCATTTGATCTTGTTTTTGATTGCGCCGATCATTCTGACGAACAAATATTAGACAGTTGGTTTGATAATTGCTATCGAAACCCACTTGTCGAATGTGAGGAATATAATTGTGGGTGGCTAAAATATTCTTGTGGAGACGGTCAGTGTATAAACACTTTTACCGGCATATGTGGAAGCGGACGGGACGTTCCCATTTACAGAAACTGGTTGCAAGTTAAAAATGATTCATCCGAACAAACAATAAAGTGTTGGAAGTACATGTTATGTCAAATGAAGTCCATTCACTGGTACAACTATTCAAAGCAAGACTGTATTCAATGGTGTTTGAATCCAGAGGGAAATTGTGCATCGCACTTGAGCCGCTTATGTAACGATACAATATTTTTTCCACCAAATTCTGTTCTGTATCCTTCTGTTCACTTTTTGTACAAAACAAATAAATCTGATTGGGATTTGGATAAACTGCCAGATTATATTTGTTTCAATGAGACTATGTGTGGAACATATTCAGGAACGTTTTTTATTGATGGCCTTGTTTGTAACAGAACAAAAGATTTTATTGTGTATTATGTCGATGGTTGGTCTGATTTGATTGATCAATTACAATTAATATTTTCTGCTTGTTCACAACCCAGTGAAAAGTGCTCCCCAAACATGTTTCTTTGCGATATTTCCAATAAATGCGTGTCAAAACATCGTATACAAGACGGATTTACTGACTGTTATTTCCAGATCGATGAGAGATATAGCGGTGAGTGCTTGGTGAATTCATCAAATCGATTCACTTGTTTATATAGCGGTCAATGCATTTTACGAAGATATCTACGTGATGACCTCTACCACTGTGAGGATAGATCAGATGAACACTATGAGGGGCTTTGCAGAGCTGTCGATAGTACAGGTTGTAGATATCTGCAGGGTGTGTATCAGCCACCCATCGGTATTAGTTTTCATGAAATTTGCAACGGTATCCATTTAAGTAATCGTTTTCACATTGATAATGATACAGACGAAACGAATTGTGAACAATGGCCATGTGAAACAGCATATACACGATGTGATTACGTATGGAATTGCCCAAATGGACTGGATGAACTTGATTGTGGTACTGAGACAATTCAAGGCATTATCACATACCATGTGGCAAAATGTGAGACGAATGAACATTATTGTCTTCGCATAAATGATACGAGTATGAGTTGTTTGCCTCTAGCACAAGCAAACGACAAAATAATTGATTGTGCAGGAGCATCGGATGAGCGAGGAAACTACTGCGTTGATGAAATTGAGAAATACAAATGTTTGAACAGCAGAAAATGTGTTGATACGGCGAAGGCTCTATGCGATGGTTATAACGACTGTCCAAACGAAGATGACGAAGATCTGTGTCCATGGAGAAAACATTCGAATTGTTTACGAAATGAGTTTGCATGCAAAAACAAATGTATCCCGAGTAGATGGCGCTGTGACAATGAGATACACTGTCTACCAGAAGGCGAAGACGAATGGTTATGTGACTTGGCCAATATTCTAAACTCCAAAACTATATATGATAACAGCATCACTTATCCATCTGGTCTTACGGATAATAGACAATCAGTGTCTCTTGTGCAAACAAAACTTCTGAGTTCAAACTTCGGACAGTTACCTCCTGATCAGTTAGCTTTTTATTGTCATCGAGGAATATTAATTCAAACAAATGAATATCCATATAGGCAATGCCTTTGCCCCGCTTCTTATTACGGTGACCGGTGTGAATATCAGTCTGAACGAATAGTAGTATTTCTTGAAGTAAAAACACCCATTTCGTTGCCTCGTCTTACAGTTTTCAGGCTGTTCATCTATTTGGTCGATAAAAGTGATACGCTCATCGGATTTGAAGAAATAGTTCATATGCCATTTCTAGAGTCAGCGACAAAGCATATTTTCTACTTGCTGCCATCATTACCAAATGCTGGCGATTATTTTGTAAGAATCGACGCTTATTCAGTATCTGACAGTGAAGTGAAATTTTCTGCCTCGTGGTACTTTGACGTGCAGTTTTCGTTTTTGCCTGTTAATCGTTTAACAATCGACCTTTTCATTAACAAAATCAAACCGCCTAACGCTTGTTCTAATTGCTCGTTTCATGGGCTTTGTGTTACTTATGAAAATTTTCCAAAATCCTTTTGTTTGTGCGAGAAGGACTGGAAAAGCCCACAGTGCAACGAAATGATAAATTCTGAAACGACAATGTGTAATAAAGGCGCTAAATATGTTCAGTCGTTCAATGTTTCCAAATGTGTTTGTCCACTCGGTAAAGCAGGGTCTAATTGTTATGCTTCTTTTAATCCATGTCAACATGCACCGTGCAAGCATAATGGAACATGTATTCCATTTGACCAAAGAACCATTCACTTTCGATGTATTTGCATCAATGGTTATTTTGGAGATCAGTGTCAGAATTATTCTTCTCGATTAGGTATAATTGTGAACGATGTTCTGTATGATGATTCTTACCAGAAAAAGATGCCAGCTTTGATCGTACATTTTGTTGCCACGAGTATTGAATTATTCGGAATCGCAGATCGCGTAAAGTACGTCTTGTTCAAAAGTGTTCCATTTTCAACAAGACTCGAAATATTAGATGAAACATCCGAAACATTGCCGACATTTGCATTTGTACAATTGTTTCCTAATGCAAGTCATGCAAATGGCCTCTATTATCTCGTACTATCCCTGGGTTGGAAATCAATACGGAGCGTTAGCACAAATTTGATTTCGGACAATTATTGTCCAAATGTTCGAGAATTATTGAATGAAACGGTTCTCTTATATCCTATGTTAAAACGCGTTAAATTTTATAACAGAATTTGTAATGGAACTAGGCCGATATGTTTCTATGATGAGACGTACATGTGCTTTTGTACAACAATTGTTGATCGCCCTGATTGTATAATATTTGATCATTTATCAACTAGTTGTACTGATGGTAGTTATTTTTGCCAGAACAATGGTCTTTGTATTCAGGTGAGGCAACAACGACGACTGGATTTCGCTTGTGTTTGCCAAAAATGCTTTTTTGGTGACTTTTGTCAATTAACTACTGCTCGATATTCCATTTCTATCGACACTTTACTTGATAATGATATTCTCAGAGGTCAGTCTTTGAGTAGTCAATCAGTCATATTGAAAATGACGGTGATAAGTGTACTTACGATGACTGCGGTTGGATTTTTTTCAAATACAATTTCGTTTGTTACATTTTGCCGACCAAGAGCTAGCCAGGTTGGATGCAGTATTTATTTGCTAATGACATCTATTACTGGTCAATTAGGCTTGATTGTGCTGGGCACCAGAATTGTATTTTTGTTAGTAATACAAAATGAAGCAACTGCTTATTATAGTTGTGTAGTATTAGAGTACTTGTTGTCCATCTTTCCTACATATTTTGACTGGTTAACAGCATGTATCACCGTCGAACGAGCAGTCAGTGTTCACCGAGGAATCAACTTCGATAAACTATATAGTGTTAGAATTGCTAAAGTGACAGCTGTCGTGGTGTTTTGCCTTGTTTTAACAAGCTTCACTCATGACTTGTTCAGTCGTCAGTTAATTATTGACCCACAATCTACGGATCAATTCTGGTGTGTTATGAAATTTGATAAATATGGAGTAGAAGTGTATGAAATGGGCATGAATCTAGTCCATTTGATTCTTCCTTTCTTCATTAATATCACATCGACATTATTTTTTATAATAAGTTTGTCTCGTAGAAAATCAACATCTACTGCATTCACCGCAGGACCATATTTATCAGTATTTAAACAACAAATTCAACTGTATAAACCGTTCATACTTAGTCCTATTGTCTTGATTGTTCTTGAACTACCTCGTTTACTATTCACGTTTTCATTTGCGTGCATATCTCATTCATGGCAAAAATATGTGTACCTGGTCGGCTATCTCATCTCATTCATCCCGTTGATGTCAACACTTTTCATTTTTGTCATTCCTGCTCCGATTTATCGTAGAGAAACAAAAGAATTGATGAGTGAAGCAATGTCGAGATTGAGGCGGATAGTTGTGCGAAATTGAATCTTTATTAAATGTTTAATCCATATACTAGAACTTTTTGCTTCTGTCATTTTATTTTTATGTGATACAGCCGCTAATGTATATTTCATATTTCAATGTGTTCATTCCACAAAGATATTTACTTTTTCGTGCTTGTTACTAGTGTCGTTATTTCTTTTAATAAAATGTTTCATAAAAGATGACTGACTGTTCTTACGCTAAGACTTCAACAGATTCGGTTCAAGTTGATGACGGGAACAATGATCCTTTCAGGTAACCTTTTCTGTAACTTCAGGCGTTACAAAAACGGCGAGGAAGACCACTGTGTAACATATCTGAGAGCAGAGAGGTATTGAAGGAGGCGATGTTCATACCAACTAATTAATGATTTTAACAATGGATTATTACGTCATAATTCATAGGTGGCTTTGTTCTTAATAATGCTGTTAAATATGTTAAACTACTTTTTATTCCAGCTAGACATGCAACGGTAGCGGTAAAGCCGGTAACGGTACTAGAGCTACCGTTCTACCGGTACTACCCGTACCGTTTTACCTGTCACCGTAGGTAACCTTTTCCGGATAAAACCTACCGTAAAAAATCACACAGTTGCAAATGTAACTTACCTCCGTCTAAAAATTAAAAACCGCTATTTTCTTCTTCTTATTTGAGACTGCTTAAGCCAATAAAATGCAGAGAAAAATAAAACGTAGAATAAGGCATCAAAATCTGTTACAATAACAACATCGTCATATGCTCTACAGAATTTCACTCTCTCTCTAGAATCGATACTATCTGTCCACAATGAACGATAAAACCTGTGGATCGATAACGGCAGTAGAACAGTAGCGGTAGTAACGATAGTATCGGTAGAACGGTAGCGATAGTACCAGTAAACTACCGCTACCGTTGCATGCCTAATTCCAGCTTTGATCACATATTCGTTGTTTTTATTTTCAAGCATAATTTGTCTTTAATTTTAATTAAATCAAGTGAATCCTATTTGAATATATCAAATACATCATCAGTATTCATGAATGATTGTGTTAAACTAATTAATTGTATTTTAAGAATATCACATAATGGTTCACCAACCAATGATTGTAGAAATTTAAAAAATGCATCGCCTTTTAATGTGAAAATATCATCTGGTAATATCGATAAATCACGCGTGTGGTTGTTCATTTTAAAAACTAATTAAGTCAAGTACATATAAATGTAAAATCATTCAAAATAAATGAGCAAAGTTATAACGACTTTGTGTGTGAGGATGAATCAAACTGCATTCATCATCTGTGATTTATATACCAGAATAAAACAATAAGAAAATAAATAAGCAACGAAAGCTAACAGATGGGAGTTTCAAATTCCAGTGATAATTTAGCCTTGTTCCTCTATCACGTTAATCGGCTGTATGTCGCTGTTGTGCAAAGAAATCATGTACATATTGATATATCGAAAGAAGAGGCAAGAAACTAAAATCGAATAGGTCGATAGTGTAAAACGATTTTTCTTCTCTGTGGTCTTTAATGGAAAAGCGAATTTGTTTAAGAGCATTTCTCGATCTCTTTTTATTAAGATTTCGATTTTCGAGTTAGGCGTGATTCAATATACAGTTAAGTATCTTCTATATGATGAGACGCCTATGTTTCCTTTCCGAGTTATGCAATTTTTAAGATGGGCTAAAATAAGAATGGGCTTAAATTTATCGTGCCGATGTTGAATCTCCAGTGGCCTGTTTTAAAAAGTGCATAACTCAGAAAGGAAACATCATAGAGAGTTGATAGGCGTCTCATTGTATAGAGGATACTTAACTGTGTATTAAATGAGATTACATGGGTAGAAAGTCTACACAACTTCCTCTTTGCTTTGTTTCATTTTGTGGAAGTCTTCATTTCTAGTTTCTAAAAAAAACGCGATCGAACACTTTGAACAGAAAAAGCAAGAACACCTTTCTTCCAAAGACGTTTCTTTCCTGAGAGCTAAAGAAAACCGAAGGAAACACCATTATTTTTCTTTGTGTTTCTAAGCTTTTCTCGCACAAACACCTACTTTCGTGCTTTTCATAAAACATAAAAATTTGTCGCGTTTTGACAAGACCGCTGCTATAGAAAACTTGTCAATGTACATGATACAAAAAGATCCGTATGGCATCAGCAAAAAAGCCTATAAGAAGTGCGTTTCATGAATAAGAAAGTTAAGAAATTCATACATTTGGGAAAAAATCTTCAATAGGGACGTTTTATGTGGCTGTGCACAAAATATAAGAAAATGTTTATCGTAACCATTTCAGTGACAAATCACTCTGTCTAAAATATTTTACGTTTCTTATAAATTTCTTACATTTATGGTATAAAATATTCGAAACAATCGTTCAAGATATGATTCATTTAAAACAGTTATCATTTAAATATTTAATATCTGATAGCGGATGAGATATTAATGATACTAGTTTAAAAAAGATATTATTGAAATTAATAAATTTAACTCGATTAGATTTTCTTTTAATTATTGACTGTAAAAATAATTATAATATTAACGATAGGTATCATTTCTTATCGATAATTCAACAAATTGATCACAACTGGAATATATGTTGTGATATTCATAGATATTATGGTTACACCAAACCACAGAATAATATTCATATATTTGCATTGTCAATGGAAAATGTAATAATAAATAACAGTAATGAAAACTTTCATGACATAAAGTATTTGAGTTTGTATGAGAAAGTAAGTTATCTACTTAATAATGATCCATTATGGCCAAAGATGTTCTTTAGTGGCTTACTATCATGGACGTCACCTGCCTCCCCGACATCTCTGTCGGACGAAAGTGCGTACAAAGTGAAATCGGCTTTTTTCCTTGATCCTAGTCCGTTTTTCATAACTAGCATTGAAATACAGAAAATTTATGTACACTAGAAAAGCCGAAAAAAAAATTGCAAGGTTTTTGGTTTTGGTTATGTATTCATTTTCAAGTGCATCAATATACTTAATACATAAATACATAAAACCGAATATAAAATCTGTTTGAATTCTGCAACCCGTGAACTGTGGTCAACATCAGAAGTACAACGGGTGCAGCAATCTCTTCAGGATACATAAAATTACAAAGCAAAACGATAGACTAGACGTCCTTATCTGAACTAACCATTGATAATAACTAGAACAAGTCATATCTTCCGTTTTCTATAGATAAAAATTTGTTGAACACTTCATAATTCAAAAACAAATGAGTGCTCTGCAAAATCAAAACACACATTGTTTTGTATATCAGATATTTTACAATCATATTCAATTAGGAAATAATATATCGTAGTTATTATTACTAAGGCTATCTCAGCTTTACAATAAGGTAGCTGTGTCACGAGAAAGCCGAACAGAACGATATATTTCTTAAAAGTCTACAGATTTCTAACTTAACCTTAGATTTGATTAAATAGAATAGGATTTGCACAGAAGCTGGAGTAAACTTAGCATTAATTAGTGCTCATTTTCAATAAGCGTTAAACACACTAAAAATATCATAACTTCTCATCTATTATGTTCAGAAAGTACATAATAGCCAAAGAGAATTCAGCATATATTCTTTACATCATCTGGAAAGTATTCACTATCATTAGAGTTTTAGAGAAACCTAATACATGTTTCATATGAATTATATGAATATTCGCTTTTGTCCTAATTAATTTACATATTTTTACTCATTATTATGTATTACTTTCTACTCGTTCTCTGGAGAAGTAATACAAATGATGAGCATCAAGATGATCCTTATAGGAGTTTAAGTCGAAAGACGTCATTTTCTACGTTCGCTTACAAAACTTTTTACAAACTTTTAGTTCTTATTTTCAATGGACGCCATCCTTGTTGTTTTGTATTATGTTCTCGTTGATTTTGTCACATATTCTATGAAGAGCAATTTTACAAGCAACGGGAATTGATCTTACTTTTACACAAGGTAGCTCTCGTAACTCAATCAACTGAATCAACAAAAACAAAGCATATCAAAGACAAGGCTGAACATCTTACAGAAAGTATTTTATTTCATTCCCCAGGTGTATTGTTCAATTATAAACCATCAATATTTCAAGTACTAGTCGCTTTTGCGCTTGTGGAAAAATCGAGTCAGTCAAACATTTTCTGTTGGAATGTCCGTGCAGTCATCATCAACGACAAACACTTATGAGCCATTGTACGTAAGCCACGACCGACGTTCTTTACTCGATGTTCTCAAAACTTTTCCAAAGTCGGGGGTTCTTGTAGATCAAACATTTAAATGAATTCTGGCAAAAGGCGGAAATGAAAAAGTAGTATCGTTGCTGAGATATGGAAATTTTACGAAAACTCCCGAAAAACGTGAGTTTCACCATCTTGGAAATTTGCCAGTTTGAAACAAAGTCAACTGTAAGACTTTCAATCATATTTCCAAATAGATTATATGCCAAAGTGTAATCTATTTGCCGAGAACAGAAGCACATAGTCGACCATGCTAAATGTGTTGGCAACGTTTATTTTACTTTTCTTTATGTTAGTTTCCCCCTTTCGAGGTTACTGGACGCCACTGAGTGCTAGTCCTAGGGCTCTATGAAAATTAGATACTACGTTCAAATCACTCAAAATCAAAGTCTCGCTTGGCTTCCATTTTGAAGAGGACACTTTAGGCTATTTACTCATGAAAAAACCAATCTATTGCTACTTTACCGCTCAGAGTTATAAAACGGTTTTCTAAAGGTCCCCTAGAAAACCGGTCATTGCGAAATACTTTCAAGTTTGTTTTAGTTACAAAAACATAGTTTAAAGTCTTGACTATCGAATCACAAAATCCACAAGTTTTTATTACCTTGCGTTCTTCAGGTATTCGAAAACCAAGTTTTCAACTGACCGGTTGAGCTTTCGAATAACTCAAGAACGCAAGGTAATAAAAACTTGTGGGTTTTCCGATTCGGTAGTCAAGACTTTAAACTATGTTTTTGTTAAGCCAAAGGTGAGACTTGACAACCCCGTGGGACTTGATTCAAAAATAATGAAAATCTATAATAAAGGAAGTACAAAACTGATGATCTAAAACTGAAAAGAACGACACGACGATGATATTTCTTTATTTCTTCGATATTTTGATTATGCTTATATACTCGGTTGACCGCAAAGTAAGATGGTGAATGATTAGTTGCGTTTTGCAACCGTAAAAACGGAATGAAAACGCGTGAGAAAGAAAAATGAAACAAACGTTATGAAACGCGTTTCTTGAACGATCCAGGAGTTACAGACTCGATCCCGAAACGCGTTTTTATTCTGTTTCGAACGATCAAAAAAGGCGTTAAATGTTTCATCTGAAACGCGTTCTAGAACGTTTGAAAACACGTTTTTTGTACGTTTT